AATTTGTATTGTTTTCAAGTAATTAGCAGCATGCACACAGTATGATATTCAGTGGAAGATCTGTTTTGTGTGCCATACTCATACTTCAAACATCCCTTGAAGATACATTTGCAAGCCATGGGTTTGTAAGGTGATGCTGATTCCTTTCCCTGCACTGCATCTGTACATGGAAACATAGTGATGTGGAAATAAAAGATCATGTGACGAGATACAACCAGTAATTGTTGAAGTGAAGGCTTAATAACGTTGTGTTTATTAATGTCATTGTTTGAGCTACACTGTGGGTTAATTAGGCTATCTGTGACCAAATAGCATGACAAATAGGGATGCTGGAAAGTTAAGACTTTGCTGCAGATGTGGTGATAAAAGGCTGATTCCTAACAATTAGCACAAACACTTCAGCAAAACAAAAAAGCCTTCCTGAACACGGAAATACAATCTATTTAACATACAAATTGAATTGAGTAGCGATCTATTTAACATACAGCTAACTTGGGAAATTAGTGTAATAAGAATAAAAAGGGGTTTAAAGATATGAATGAAAGTTAATCCACAGTTGCACTTGCTAGAATAAAATTAAGAAGGCCATCCATCATTTTAGCAATTTGGTGTGTGAGAAGTCTCTTAATACTTGAACCTTCCCATCTTTATGAGATGAAAGAAACGAAATTAAAGCAGAGCAGCCATCATCTCTTAATCTGTTGTAAGAGCTGCCAGAAGTTTTATTTCCCTTTTTTTTTCTTCTGAATAAGCAGGCTCTTTCTTAAGCTTGTTTCTGTATGGTATGCCTTTGGTTTCTGGAAGGTATGAGTGCAGCACTGGTACTATGTCACTGCAACCTTTTCTGAGACGCTGCAATCTGAACATTTATCCATTGTCACATGCAGTGATTCCTCTTGAGTCATGTCAGTGTGCAGTGTGCTAGAATATGCCCTTGAGGTAATTTGGAATAGGGGATCTAGCCTCTCTTCCCCTGAAGGACAATTGCAGACAGGCTTCTTGGCTCTGCTGTCTTCTCACTTTTCAGTCTGAGATCACTTTGTTCACAATCAGCAGGTATAAGGAATGTATTTGAGTCAATAACGGTGTAATTTATATTTAAGATTGAGATTGAAATCATCTGAAATGTCGTGCTGATGAAACTTGAGCTTTCTTGAGAAAGGGGTCTGTGTAACTTGAGGAGATGCATACTGCTTGGTTGGAACCACAGACTGAAGAGCATTTCTAATGCATAGCACTCTGCCATAATGAGAGGTTTTGTGGTGGTTTCTTTTTTTTTTTTTTTGCTCTGGTCAGTGATTGCCATTCCCTTTGTTGATACTATATGCAATTACAGTATCTATGTATTTTCATATGTAGTTGTATTAGGCTATAGTTGAGAATGTAGCTAGAAGCTCTCAGGCTGAAATTACAACAAAATGTAGCTGCTGTGCTCCTTTTATCTGCTGTAGGCTCTTGCCTTTGCCTTTGAAACTGTGCAGAGTTGGTGTTATACATAATGCTTAATCAGGAGCCAGCCTGGCTCCTGCCATGTCTACAAAATGGCTGGGTCTTCCATGGGGCTCAGGTGTAGAAAGAAGAGCAAGGGATTAATTTGACATCATGATGCAATCAGCTTAGCATGTAGTTTAACATCACAGCTAAGCTATATTAAAAGTCAGTAGCTGAGCTGGGAACATAACAGTGATCTTAAATCAGAGAAGGGCTTGGTGGGTGATGTGAATCCTCACCTATGTCTTAGCTCTCATCCCAGCATTGCTAGTAATGTTGCTTCAGGTTTTTGGTTCACTTTTCTCTTATTAAACTAAAAGCAGTCAGACGTGGCCTGGATATTTCTCACAGTTGGTGGCTGGCCTTCTATAAATGGCACTGAGGAATCTGGCTGCACTGCTGCTATGTCTTACTGTTCTCAGTACAGATGATACTACCCTGCGCTGTAAGGGAGGTAGTCCTTCTATGAAACAGTGCTTGTTTTTCAGATGCTCTAGTGCACATTCTACTTGTTTCTGTATATGTGTTGACTGCATTGTAAATGAGAAGTCTCACTGAGGTTCTTCAGTTGATGCAGTGCAGGGTTTTTAAGCATCTTCTCTAGATGCATGTCACACAGTTAGAGTTCCTTAAATAGCTGCCCTGTGAAGGAGCCCAGTTCTTAAAGTATGTGTTGAAAAAGCTGCACTGTGCATTTAGCTTTTTTTGTTGTTTTCTACAGCTCTAAATAGAACTTGTTTTGCAATACTGCAAGGAGAAAATCGGTTTTTTGTACCTTTCCCTGTGCCTTAAATATGGTCATCTGCAATGGAAGGAAGCTTCTGTAGCTGTGAAATATATTATCAGACTTAAGAAAACAACCTTTCTTGGCTTAGATTTGTGTAGACAAATCCTTAAATGTTGACAACAATATATTTGATGCCAGATAAGATTGTAATTCTGTTCATTCCTAAGTCGTATATCAGTGTCACTGTGTGAGAGGCTATAACAGCAAGTGACTTCTCTAGACAGAGTTCTTTGCACAGTCTTGGTTATAATTAAAAGAAAATGTTTCTTATGGCTTTATTCTAACAGAGACTTGAAGGGAGAAATTAAAATGAACTGAGAACTTAAAAGAAAAAATTACCAAGTGACTTACTAAAAGACAGAAGACAATCCCTGTGCAAATGAAGTCTGCTTTACAAATATTGTAGAGGACTGAAAGACTCATTGTACTTTATAGGGAGGTGTGTGAAACTTCAGCGTCTGTGAATTGCAGCTTCCTTTATGAGCAAGGCTTTGTACGACACCTTCTGAAATGTCTTCATTAGATGTTTGGTCCTGTATTAGTGATTCAGTGTTTGTTCTGGTTTACATATTTGGGGGTAGAAGAAGCACTCCCGAACTGACAGCTGTTTCTTGATGTGGTTTATTGTGACAGCTTTTAAAAACAGCTTTTTGTTACTTGTCACTTGTTCTTCCTCACGACTGAAGGGAAAGCCACATAAAAGGCATGTTTTTGCAAAGACCAGGAAGGATAGACGAGGAGTTGATCGGGAATTATTTAAATATTCTTTTATAGACCCTGGAAACAAAACTTTCCTTTTCAGAACTTTCAAACTAGTTGAAGTTTGTGCAAAGAAGAGAACATTTAAGCTTGTTGTGTACCACTGCTTGGTCTTGCCTTCCATTTGGATTTAAAAACCCTGACAAGGTAATCCAGTTGAGATCATAATCTTATTTACATCTCTGACCTTGCATGGCAAGAAATACATGAGCCTTCAGGTGAGCGCTTGTACACAAAAGGCTTGGATAAAGGGAGGCTATGGACTCAACTGTTTTAATCTAAAACTTCCATTAGGATTTCTTTACAGAGTTGCAGAGTGAGGTAGAGAGAAAAATTCTGGAAAAATAAAGCCATAGGACTGAGGAGAAGTTGAAACTGGGCCATGCAGTAATGGAAGAGGCAGATGCAGGCAGTGAGGTGTGCTGTGACTGCAGCCCTCAGACAGCTGGAGGAAGAGCTGCTTGTGGTGAGCAGGAGTTGAAGATGCCTTCCCTGTACTTCAGCTCCAGACTTGCAGGATGCAGGTGGGGTTTGTCTCTGTGGAAAAGTTGCTGTCCTGAAGATAAACAGGAAAGCAGAAATGTTTAGAGCTTCTGTAATACTTCCTAGATGGAGTTTTGAAGAGAAGTTGCAGTTTATTGGCTGGAATGCAGGTGACTGATGTAAATAGTTGGAAATGCCTAGAAATCCTCAATCTGTTAGATCAGCATCTGCCCATCTTTAGCTTTTGACTGTCCCAATATCAAGGGAAGAGATTTCACTGCTCAATGATAGCTCTTCACTGACTTGACTCAGCTAGGGATATTTCTTTTGTCTTGCAAGTTTTTATTTTGGAGGGATTTATTACTTCTGAGGTTTTTTAAAATATGTATTGCATTAGAGTTTTTTTCTAGTAAGCAAAAATTCTCATTGCGGCTGCAATTTCTTTGCCAAAGTGCATGTTATATTCAAGGAGCGTGTGCTGATAATTTTGATTGTGGGTCTTTCTTTTGATGAATTCTATATTTGTTGGATTTGAGGCTACTAGCAGAAGTCACTGCTAGATTGAAGAGAAATAGGTGAGTTTGTTCAGCAGTGTCTAACACCAGTTTAACATTGATTGAAAGAAAATCTCAGGCTTAATCGGTGTTACCTTGAACTCAATTGTTTTACCTCTGAGTTCAGCCGGTCTTCAGCCACTCTCCAAACTACTGATCATTTATTTACCATTTTGGGGCTAAAGTGAAGCATTCTAGTGGAGTATGTGCATGTTGATATCCCTCTGTCTATCACATGAATGAAGATATCTGTTCTAGAAACTTTGAAATACATAATGATTGAATTTATGAGGTAGAGTGAAGATTAAATCTGTGACTTTTTTCTTTTAGTGAAATTGTCGTCCCATCTTAAACCAGTGATCCATCAGGCTCTAGGAGAGCTTTGGAGGTTGCTTGACAGCTTATAGATGGAGAAAGGAGTTAGGATGGAAGTTTCTTCACCACTGGTATTTTCCTTGTGGTTATAATTTTTGTAGTGCTTTGATATTAACACAAGAACACAGTTCAAACTCTGAGAACTGTACTTTCATAGAATCACAAGGTTGGAAAGGACCTACAAGATCATCTAGTCCAACCATCCTCCCGTTACCATTGCTACCGCAAGCCTCTAAACCATATCTCATAGCTCCTCATCCAGACACCTCTTGAACTATGCCGGGAACAGCAACTCCACCACCTCCCTGGGCAGACCATTCCAGTGTCTGACCACACTCTGAGAGAAAAAGTTTTTTCCTTATGTTTTTTTTGTACAGTTGAGGGGGGAAAAAGGGAAAACGAAGTATAAAAGGATTGTCTGAAAGAGTTGAGTGCAACTCTTTTCCAGCCCTGCTATGCATGTATGGCCTTTTTTTTACTTTACAAGGCTGTGTGTGCTGAGGGGAGTCCAAGTTCTTGGAAAACTAATTATTCTTGGCTTTATTTTCTAGGATCACATGATTCTTTCAGCTACTGGGTGGATGAGAAATCTCCTGTGGGACCAGACCAAGCCACTGCCATCAAACGCTTGGCCAGAATTTCTTTGGTTAAAAAGATAATGAAGAAATGGTCAGTAACTCAAAATCTGACTTTCAAAGAGCAATTGGAAGGTGGGATCCGCTATTTTGATCTTCGTGTATCTTCCAAGCCTGGGGAAATAGGACAGGAGATCTACTTCATACATGGATTGTTTGGCATCAAAGTATGGGATGGACTAATGGAGATTAATACCTTTCTTGAGCAACACCCCAAAGAAGTCATCTTCTTGGATTTCAATCACTTCTATGCCATGGATGACAGCCACCACTTCTTCTTGATCAACAGGATTCGCTCGGCATTTGGATCCAAACTTTGTTGTGTTGAGTGTGTAGAATATGTGACGTTACAGTACATGTGGGAAAAGAAGTATCAGGTAGGGGAAGGATGATCCGTAATTTTTTTTTTTCACACTCAAAAGATTCAGATTTAAATAGATAAGCTGGATAGTATTCACTCTGAGGTATTGGGCCAGGGACACTGCTGATAGCTAATATAAGCTTGCTGGGGACTCATTAAATCATTAGATGACAGTAGGGTCTTGTGTTCCTTACCAACGTTCTTCTCTTCTGAGAGAGCATGTTATGCTGACTTCTACTGAGGATATGATAAAATGTCGTCATTTTGGTGTATTTAAAGTATGTATGGTCCCTCGTGACTAAGGGAAGCTGTGGAACTTCTAGCTCCTTCACAGCTATCCACATTTATAGTGGCAGGACTAAATCCCTCTTGCCCACAGAGAGAGGCAGACTGAGAGAACAGGATTTCAGTGACTGCACTTAATTCTCAAACTACAAGTTAAATGAGATTTTGAGGATTTCCTCTGAACTGGTACTATTAGTGCCCTACCTGTGGCAGAGGGGTTGGAGATTGATGATACTTGAGGATATTAGTGCTTTGCCTTACAGGTCTGCTAGGGTCCAAAAAAGAATCATTTGTAAGATTGGTTTATAACAGTGATGTATCTTTGTACTACCCTCTTACAAAGAACCACCTTACAAGGCATAAAATGCTGATTTCTGATTCAGAGAAGGTTTTGCTGAAAGTAAGACCGACTTTAACAGCATTTCACTCTCCTCTCACTGAATGTTGTTAAAATTCTGGATAGCCCAGCGTGCTTTAGCCATTTAACAGAAGTATAGGAGGTGCCAAGATAGCTAAAAAATTTAACTTCACTGTTAAGTGAAGCACTATTTTCTGATAGTGCTCTGAAATGCTTTTTAAGCAGATTGCTTAGAATTGACATCTCACTATGCTTCTGGCCATTCTTTCATTTCTTAAACTGATGACCCTTAAAGCCTGAAGCAATCCTGTCCTCACATCTAACAGAAATGATCTTCATCCTTTGTTAGTAAATTTATTGACAGTCATGACTCAGGAGTAATTTCTTTGCCTTCACACTGCTGCGCTAGCTTCAGGAGTAATGCATAAGCCAGTACTCCGTCCTGTTTCTAAACAGAATAGTTAATAATTATTGTCTCCTTTTTCTTGTTTCTGTTAGGTTCTTATTTTCTACCACTACCCCTTGTATCGAGAATTTCCCTTTCTATGGCCAGGGAATAAAATGCCAGCACCGTGGGCTAATACGACCAATGTGCACAAGCTCTTACAGTTCCTGGAGACCACTCTTGAGGAACGAAGTCGTTATGGGACTTTTCATGTTTCTCAAGCAATTCTCACTCCTCGAGTAAAAACTATTGCACGACATCTGGTCCGTGGTCTAAAGAACACACTTGTTCATAGGTAAGGACTTGTCTTGATTTCTCAGTTCTTAAAGTGTTTCATGTTGAAATGGCACTGGGTAAGCAAGAAACTGTAATGTTTGCCTTAAAGTAAGACTTGCTGACTGACCTTTTAGGAAACATGCAGTCCTACTTCATTACTACTGCTGGGTTGAGATACTTGCAGCCATTAAAAAATCAATAATCACTGAAAATAGAGAAGTAATGGGGTAGATATTGCAAGCATAAGTATGTTTACTTGGAGCTCTTGAAGTAATTGCAGCTCTTGGAGTGTGATCCCCACAAAACATGGGCTTGTTTGCCAAAAGTCACGAAAATTCTAACAGTCCTGGTGGGACTCAATCTTCTGGCTTATTGTTTCTCTGTTTTGATGTCACTGAGATTGTCTGGCTGTAAAATTTTTAAATTCTAAATTAACTTGAGTAGTTAGGCACAACAGCCTTAATTGGCTCTGTGACTCTCACTGTGATGATCTCCACAACTGTTTTTAATGTTAAGCAGTGAGATAAACATGCACACATCTGTAGCAGATAGTTTGTGTGTACTTCTTGGGAGAATCATTAGCCATCTTATTATAAGAGTATAATTTTGAATCAAAAGTCAATGTAATTTATTTTCTTTAAAAGCCTTTCTAAAAAGTGCAAGTGCTGTAGTTCAGCAATCAGAAGTTGCCTATAGAAATGTAGAAATTCCAGGTGAAGTGTAAATCATGTAAGTTTATGTTTAGGGGCATTACATAAGAGATTATTAAATGCAAAACGTGTTTGAGAATATAGTCAGGTATCCTCTTCAGGCTTTCTCTTTGCCTTGCCTGGTGTGTTATCAACATCAAACGCTAGATGGTGCTCAGGTGCTTTAGGACTGGTGCTTAATGCCACAACATGCATGTAAATACCTACGGTTGGTAGGGATACTTAACAGAGAGCATAGATCTGACTCTCTGTAGTGTATACTTTATGTACTCTTGTCTTGGGATTAAAGTTAGCAAGATGACACTGAATTTCAGTTTTCAAACTAGTAAAGAATAATTTAAAAAAAGTGGAATAAACAAGTAGCTTTGTTTCAAGTAATTTTTGGTAAAGGCCTGGATTTTTAGCCACTGAGAGGCTGGAAACCCTGCTTCCTTCTGTCCCATCCATCATTAGTATTTACCTGTTGGAACCGTGAAAACCTAAAACAGAGGCCACTGATTGCTAAAACATGATTGCTCCTGTGCATTTACACACACTAGCTGATCTGTATGAACAAATCTGTATCTGCAGTTGTCTGCTTTCTCGTATGGAAATTCTGCCCTGAGCATGAATATTTAAGCATTCTGGAGTTCTTGTTAGAAGAGAAATGTATAGTACTCACACTTAGCTGACTAAAGTCTGTCTCCCTTGGTATGAACAGCACCTCTACTTCTTCCTCTTTCTTGACAAGTTTCTTTTTCTGGAGCAAGAGCTGTGGAAGATCTTCGTGGTTTTTTTTCCTCCCTGTCCTGTTAGCCAATCTGTGTGTCTGCTATCTTCTCATTGAATATATGCATTCTGTGGCTCGAATTCTAATGCATTTAGTCATTTTTCTCTGTGCTGAAAACTGAGACTTGCATACTGAACTTCAAAAGAACTTGGACAGACAGCAAGGCAGGAGTCTGCACAAGAAATGACTGAAACTTCTCCCTGCTGAGAGCTGAAACAATTCCTGGCACACCTTGCTGTTCTCTAGTTACAGCAGTGTATGGTGGGATGCTGAGACCTTGCAGTGCTGAGGTCTGGATCCAGCTTGGGTTTTCCTCCACCCATTGCTCTGAGTGAATGTAAGGTGTTCCGTAGAAGTGCTGTGTGTGCTGCCCACAACTGTTTTTCCTGCCTGCCCTAAGGGGGTGGTGGGTGCAGGGGCATCTTGTGCCAGATGGAGCTTTGTTCTGTGCCAATCTGAGGTGCGAAGCTTTTAGTTCAACATGTACTTGTTCAAAACTGAGCCAGGATGAAAACCAGTGTAATGCAGCATCTCATCCTGAAGCACAATCTTTTAGGTGAAAAATTGATTTATTTTTTTTCCAGATTCAACCTGTTAGTTGGGTTTGACCAGTGTTTCTGTTTGACAGCTCACAACTGCTTGCTATGTTAAGCAGTTTTCATTCTGGTTGCATCTTTCGGTGGCAGCTAGGACCTGATCAAAGATGAGAACATAATTTGCAAGAAGCATGCTCTTTGAAATAAGCAGAGTACCTGTAGAGGATTATATCTTAAATGTTTAATTTTCTTTCTTTCTCTTTTTGTCTAGGAACCTGCCCATGATTTTGAATTGGGTGAAAGCACAGAAACCAGGTGTTATGGGTGTTAACATAATTACATCCGACTTTGTGGAGCTGGTTGATTTTGCTGCTACAGTTATTGCATTAAATGACCTCCTTCTAGAAGAGGATGATTCTTCAAGTAAATCCTGAATGCTGTGTCCCACTTATACTTATCAGAAGATCTTTCAACTATGCTAAACTTTTAAGTGAAACCTACTGTAATCAGTTAATTTAAAACAAAGTTTTCTAGAGGAAATGTGGTTTAAAAATTAAATTGTATACAGAAGATTCTTTTCTCCTAGGGCTCTGTGGATCTGAGTGGAACACAGAGTACCGGCTGAGTGCTGCTGTGTCTCTTTTTGTGGTTACATGTTTGACTAAGTTATGCACACATCTGCTGCAGCACACAGTGTTGTCTGCCTGCCAACAAGAGGCTGGCCTCTGAAGCAGATGTACCCAGTTACTGTACATATCTCCTTGGTGAGTAGACTCACTGTGTCTCTGTGTGTCCTGCTATTTTTTTTCAACTCAAGGAGTCAAATCAAGGGTCGTTGCTGATCTCTTTATAGCAGTTTTACCATTACAGCCAAAACTTTTTTGTTTTTGGCCACATCAGGTATAGCTGATCTCACTGGATGCTGCTCTTGTATTCATCACACTGTTTTCGACACTACTTCTGACTTAACTGGGGAGGGGAAAAATAAAACAACCGATATCCCTGTTGTTCAGGGAGAAGCAGTTGCTACACTCTTAATATCCAAAGTATCCTTTGGACCCCAGATACAAAGACATGGCACACACTGCCTCTTTGCTGTCCAAACTCTCCTTCTAAATTCCAAACTAAAGTAAATATTTTACTTCAGTTCTTTACTGTGGCCGTGTTTTAATACGTCTGTCTTTTGACACTAATTTGGAGAATATTCCAGTCCTTAAATTATCAGTATTGTAACTCTCAATTCTGAATTCTTGTTGTGAGACAATTAAAAGAGAAAACAGTGACCTTTCTTTGATTTGCTGGTCACTTTCTTTTTTTATTCATCCAGTTTTGTGGCAAAAATCTCTCACCCAGATAGTCCTTCTATGGACGGACCTGTGGAAGGAGGCGGGCTAACTGGGAATTTGTGTGGTATTCAAAACAGTACTTAGAGACTGCTCAAAACTGAGATCTGAGTATTGGATCTGAGTTTTACAGTGTGACAGTGAATTCCAAAACTGGACTCAAATGCTATGCTTGCAGTCAGAACTCCCACAGTTATGTGGGAGAAATTTCCTTGCCTTTACCCACTTGTGACAAAGTAAGCTGTACTCACAAGGGCTTGCAGGCATCAGTGCTGAGTGTAGTCAGAGTCATTCTTGTTGATGCACAACAAATGTGACTGTGTGCTTGAACCAAAGACATCACGTTGATATTTCTGAGCACGTAATTGATGAGCTGACAGTGGCCCTGTGATCTGTTTATCTTGGTTTAGAAAACAACACAAGTGACTAGTGAGCAGATACTACTTGGTTGTCTTCCTAAACCAGCTGTTGGTGCATTAATTATTCAGTGATTATTAACTTGTATTAATCTATTCATAAGAGAATGAATCATCTTTATGGGTATTTTATTCAAAAGAAAAATGTCTCTGGATTTATTATTTATCTTATCCTGTGTCTGCCACTGTGATGTGACAGCACAGAAAAATCCCAAACCACTTTTGTTTGTCACAACTCTGACCTCAGGACTTTATCTAAAGGTTTGCAAGCCTTCCATGTGAACCTTGGCCAAGTTCTGTGCAGGCTGTGATCTGATTTATCTTATCTACTTGTTACATGGTTTTTTGAGTTGTTTGCATTTCTTTTAAACTTAATTAAGTTGAATCTTTTTTCCTTGGGGGTTGGGGAGATTCTGTCTTTCAGTCTTTTTCTGTTGAGCTTTAGTGAGGCAGAGCCAAGTAAATAAAGCAGTCTCGGGGAAATGAAGCTCAACTTTCTAGTTTAAAATTTTGTTTGACAACTACAGCAGCAGACTTTTAGTGCTGTTTTCTTGTTGGTTAAACTTTTAGGACTTGTTGTGATTGGTATTATTTTGTTTGCAGAGTTATTTAAAATTCCTGTTTGTTTTCAGTTGTTTTGTTGGCATGGCCAAAGCCAGAACTCTGTAATAGTATTAAATGTACAGATTCTGTTTCAGTGGTCTTCTAGCTACAAATTATCTTAGAGCAGAAAAACTTAACTTAGGTGCTGATGAGGCAGAAATAAAATGTTTGCAGTGTTCTCTACAGAGCTAGAAGACAAGATGAGAAGGTGAAATAGGTATGATGTTTGCATTTGACCCTTAATATGTTTTGTACTGTATATATCTACCTCAAAAGAGATTTATTCAGGCTTATCTAATATTTATATTGTGTGTACAGAGTAACGGCTGTGTTGTTGGTCTTTCTGTTCTATTTATTTGAGTAGAGATACGATGATTGCAACTCAGGGTTTTGGTTAAGTATGTTTGAGTACAGACTTGTTTTTTTTTTTTACTACTTTGCTGTTGGCTCTAGCCCCTTGAAATGGAGCAAAAGAGTGCGAGGTGTTAAAAGTGTTGTTAACAGAGAGACAAGAAGTGGAAATTATGAAGTAGGAGGAGAAACTTGTCTTAAAGGGGCTTGTGTTGTTTCAAAGCAGTGCTTGATATTCTGCCTCTGTGAGGAACTTGACTTCCTCAGGAGGAAGCTGGTGACTGGCAGGTACAATGTCCTGCTACAGGATGTCTCCTGGAGATGCTCTGGACAGTACTGATGTTTAGAACTGATCTTAGGATAATTCCAAACTGTCCTAAGCAGCAAGAACTGCCTTTCTCTCTGTTACACACATATTCCATAGCAAAGCTGCTCATGTAATGGGCTTATTTCTCTTTGTCCCACAGCATATCTAGATACCCTCACGCACTGTGATGATGAGCTTCTCTCCAACTTGGGCTTTGAGCTGTGGACTCCAGCAATATAAAAATGACAAGGAAGAGGTGACCTGGCAAGGAAATGAGGATGAGGGGAGTAAGGCAGTAGGCTGCATTTGCGTCCCACATGTAAGGTGTGGCAGTGCTTAGTCAGGTTTGTGGCAGCAGTGGGGAGCAGGTCTGGTGAGTGCTGGTGGTGGGCACTGCTCCTGCTGAGAAAACTCAGCTGAGTCTTGCTCTGAGTGGGCTGCAGCTGGGTCAGGTGTGGATCAGCAAGCAGGCAGCAAGGCCAAAGGGAAATAAAGATTGGTGTTAGTGCAGGAGAAGGTTAAGGGATCTGTGTGGTTGATGCATCTGTTGAGCATGCTCATAGCTTTCCTTGTATCTTCTCAAAGCAGTAGAATTCACTTTTAAACAGTTAAAGTTGAAAACTCTCTGTGGGTAATCGAGTCCTTGGTCATTTTGTAGATGCTGGGAGATAAAAAGTCCATATACTAATAGCTGCTTGAGGAAAATACTTGAAACGTGTGTTCTTGAGTAATTATTTATATGGTATGTTATTATAGATTGTTTACTTAATTTGCTGTTTCATTGCTGTCACTTCTCTTCCTTTTGTGCTGGTGGTGTGCCCGTGCTCCTGGCACTGAGTGCTGCCATGTACAGCCCTCAGACACACCTGAGGCTCACAGACCTCTGCACATCCTGGTGGGGAGCAGCAGAGAGAAGAGTATCAGGAACATGGAAGTTGTAGTGTCTTACATATGCTTGTAAGTGAAAGCGAAAAACTGTAACTTGATTTTCAGACTATCAGTTGCTTAGTTTCGGACTATCAATTGCTCTTTGTTTGGTGAGGAGAAGCTGAGCTGAGTTGTAGTTCTGTTTGCTTTTTTTGTTGTTTTTTTACTTGAGAACAAAAGGTAAATCCCCATTATCCAAGTTTCTTGCAGGTGCTTTGCTGTGATGGTGAAAATCACTGCTGGAGATGGTGCTGATGAGGGATGTTTTAGGGGTGCGGTGGTCAGTGACACGTGTCAGATTGAGAATCTTTGAGCATGGTAGCAGCCTCTTTGTAATCAGTATTTCTACTGAACTGATATTTTTAGGGAAGACTGAGAAGAATGGGATCATCTTCTCCTGACACCTGTTTTCTACTGTGTTGGTACTGAGTTAATATGTTGATGATGGTCAGGAGGCACTCATGCTGTAATGAATTTTTAGAGCAGGGACTTCGGTTCAAAGTAGGGTGTCTGCCAAGGTACTTATCTATTGTACTGATCTAGTTAAGCCTTAGAAATATTTTCCTTGGTACCTGTCTCAGATGTCAGTTCATGAATACAGAGTTCATTGTATAATTAGCAGTTCATTTTGTATTTTTTTCAAATATTGTGATGATTCTGTTTTATAGTCATTAAATATGAAAGTCATTTGACAGAGCCCATGAGACTTGATGATAACTTGAATATGAAATATTTATTAGAGTCCATATGCACTTTCATTAAGACTTTCAGGTAGACTTCATTATATTGTTACCCATCCTTTAAAACTTGAGGACTGCTTCTTGGGACGAAATGTAATTTGTGGTGGTTGCTTTGAATGCAGGAGAATTGTTCAGTGTGAAGACCAGAACTAACCCGAAACTGTATTCAAACTTCATATTATATCAAGATGTAGTCTTTTTAGCAAAGAAAAAGATTTCTTGCTCTTCTAGGTGTATGATGAAAGTTATTCTGCTGTCTGGTAGCAAGAGCATATACTGACAAAGTAGTGGAAACCTGCTGGGTGCTCATCTTTCTAAGAGTCCCAATTCAATTTGCTGACAGAAGGTACTATGGTAAGAGTTCACTATATTTGAACTGCCTCCATTTACTAGTTATTTTACAAATAACAGCTCTTGGCTTTTAAGAAGTCTGTGATTGGACCAAGAGAAATGCACATCCATGCATTTTGTCGAAACACACAAATATTGCTCAGTTGAAATGTTTTCAAACTCAAGTTAGCTTTATTTGAATACAGGTTTGAAAAGCTATCTTGCAGTAGTGAAATGCTGCACCTGCTCTCACTAGTGTAAGTGCAATAGATCTGTTTTGACTTGAGCTGGTAGAAGAACCCAAGCATAAACTGGAGAGTGAGTAGATTTTCTAACAATGTGTATGTTGGGCTAATGTGGGTAAGAATGTAGCATTCTACTTAATGGTAAGTAGGTAAATGATGATCTTCCTAGCACTTTGGCTTAGATTGTTAAACCAGTCTCTATTTTACATTTAAAAAAAAGTCAGGTCCTCTGAATGTGAGTCTCACTGAAGAAGTATGTTCATGTAAACATTTTCTTTTTCCACAAGTCTTTAATCTTGTAAACAAACTGTAGCTCTTAACTGTAAGGCCTGGAATAGCACTGTCAGTTTAGTTGTTTGCTGAATCAAATTATATTTTATATTATATATTTATATTATGAATATTTACATATTGTGTTGTTCAGTGACACAGTACTGCTGTTATGCTTTGTAGACCTGTGATAATTTACTGACTGTATCTCAAATTCAGCTGTAATGTATTCTCAATTGTTAGGGGAAAAAAAAGTACATTCTATATCAAAGTAATTTTGACTCTTCAATTTTGCTCAATGTCAAATGTATTTTGTAATTGAAATTTTTTGTTTATACCCTCGATGGGAGGAGCAAAGGAAGCCAGGTGAAGAAGAATTACTTGCAATTCATATTTTGTGCAATTTCTCTTCTTTTTTTTGGCCATTCATGCTTTATGAGTCTGTGCAATTCAGTCTTGTGATACCAGGATACCTCACTTGAACTGCAGATAAACTTGGGGTTGACATCTGTTTGTTTCTGCTTTATTCTGCATCTATATCATTGGGGATTTTAATCCTGGAAATAAAAATATCATGTGAGATAATCCCACTGTGTCTTCTGTGCTGTTGACTGGTAAATGAAAACTGCACTGAGTCACTTGTATTGATTCAGTTTGTTTCCTTTTTTCTAATTCAAAATGGTGTCACTGAGAGAATCACAGAATAGTGTGTGTTAGAAGGGTCCTTCAAGATCACCTCGTTCCAAGTCCTCTGCTATAGCAGGGACATCTCCCACTAGACCAGATTGCTCAAAGCCACATCCAGCCTGGCCTTGAATGCTTCCAGGGAGGGGGCCTTCACAACCTCACTGGGCAACCTGTTCCAGTGTCTCACCACCTTCACAGTAAAAAATTTCTTTCTAATACCTAGTCTAAATCTATTAAGCTCAAGGTTTTTTGAGGTGTCAGATCTTGCTGCACTCATGCCCCTTAGGCAGAAGACCTAGATAGTGTGCTTGCTTTTAGGCTGTGCTGGGTGTTTGTCAAAGTAGTGCAAGTAGATCAGGGCACTCTATGCTTGCACCTGTATGCATGGATGGGTGCATCTCTGCCTGAACAAACAGGTAAAAGTATGCTATTACATGGGTCAAGTTTTATTATGGAAGGCAGGTAGATGCCTTTGTGCAGCATTTATTGCCGTATACAGGTGATAGAGCTCCATGGTAACATTCTATTAGAAAGTGAAATACTGATAATGATTCCCAAAGCCCATGTGAATGTTGGATACTCTTCCTTATGGTTCCTTTCAGCTTGCTTGTTTCAAGAATGGAGTGAGGAGGGTGTGGGTGATACCAATTCCCTTGTCTCTGGATGGTTGGCTGGTATCTGGTAAGTACTATGTTTGAGGATCCTGAAGTCCTAGAGATAGATATCAGTACAGGGCCTAACTGTAGTCTTACACTTTGCAGTATGTTGTTAGAGCCAGACAAAATTAACAGACTCCAGTTTAATAACCTGTTTGAAGTGTGCTATAAGGAACAGGGTGTCCTACTTGGTTTCTAAGAAATACTGATAATTTGTTTTTAAATAAATTAAAGACTGGCTAACTAGCTTGCTTTTTTTAAAATTCCAAATATTGTTTTCCCATGTTAGAAATTGCATATCTCAGAGGGGACTTTTAGTGCAAGATTGAGTACAGTCACTCTGCTTTCCTACTGGATTTAATAGCTCTTGGTGTCCATGCTGCAGTCTAGTGCCTACCAGAAGTGCTGCACAAAGGTGTGTGGGCACATGTAGATGGTAGACATCCTTTGCCGAGCACATAAAAAAGACTACAGAAACTAGTCACGTGTTCTGTGAAAAATTTATGCATTCTTTATGTGC